GAAGGATGTTACACGTATTTTACTATAGATGTTTCATTAGTAGTCCTTTGAAGGATGTTACACGTATTTTACTATAGATGTTTCATTAGTAGTCCTTTGAAGGATGTTACACGTATTTTACTATAGATGTTTCATTAGTAGTCCTTTTAGTAAAATACGTGTAACATCCTTCAAAGGACTACTAATGAAACATCTATAGTAAAATACGTGTAACATCCTTCAAAGGACTACTAATGAAACATCTATAGTAAAATACGTGTAACATCCTTCGTAGCTGTTTCATTAGTAGTTCCTTTTTTTTACCAATTGTACAACTTGTGATTGTCTAATTACACATTCCAAAGTGAACATTTTTTCAGTTAACTGTATAACATTGAAAGGTGAATTAAGGTTAATCGTAAAAAGTACTTACATCTATTTACAAGCTTTAACTTCTTACCATTGTTCTCGTATACTGGGATTCCCCTGGTGTCGTTAATATTATTTACTTGTCTTCTTACTTTATTTTTTAACTCTTAAACTTTTTTTTACAAACTGCGTTTTATTTGAGCTTTGCCTCCGCACTACAAGTCTGGTGGACTGTAAAGGAAGGGGTGAAAATAAAAAAGAAAATAAATTGGAGTTTTCATCTTGAATGGCATCTTTTGAGCACGTGAGATAAACTTCTAGGATTCAGGTACATTATTTACTAATTTTGAGCTAGTGACCAAAGGAAAAGAAGCATACCAACAGCACACGCCGCCACAAGGGCTTGTCCGATTTTTTTTAAAACCTAAAGATTGGATTATCTTCTATAACGGAGCATCACGTCTCGAACCTCAGACCCTCAGTAGGTCACATCCGGTTCTTGAAAAAACGCAAAGCGCAACTAAAAATCTGTTAACTTCGTCTGTGATAAATATAATTTGCGAACGTTTTTAGGTTTTTCATTGTTATAGAAGTTGACGTTTTGTGATGAGATATTCCGTAGGCCTCACCAAATACAAACGATCTGAAGTTCATATGTTTATGTGTGTTTATATCTAAAACTTTTGTTTTGCTTCTGTAAAAAGAAAAGACCTATTGTATTTGAGTTGAACTAGAGGAAGGAAGATATAAATAATATTTCATCTATATGTATTGTTTAGAGGAAGACACATCGCTAATAACGCCACCACCTGATGGTAGCATACTTCAGTGGAAAACACATTTTTAGTCAATACTTGGAGTCCATTTTTATACCAACGTTAACGTTTTTTTGTAAATTTAGTTTAAGGAACTACCATTAAGAGAACGAAAGGATTTTTTCTCTTACCACGTATTTAACTAATGTTAACATGATGGTCAAAGGCTTAACAGTACAGTTTATCTTATGCTTCTCTTTATTTGTACCACGATGTTGAAAGGCCTCTAAAAATAATCTTGACAATAATGAGGAGAAAAAGTTTTGACTTAATTTCTTAATCGTATATGACAGAAACCACAGTAGGGGTAATGTGACTTAATTTCTTAATCGTATGTGACAGAAAATCACAGTAGCGGTAATGTCCATGAGCTTTGATTTTACAGAAGATCTGAGAGATCAGATTAACTTGATTTTGTGAGCTTTAATTTTACAGAAGATCTGAGATATCAGATTAACTTGATTCTGTGAGCTGTGATCTTACAGAAGATCTGAGAGATCAGATTAACTTAATTCTGCGAGCTTTGATTTTACAGAGGATCTGAGAGATCAGATTAACTTAATTCTGTGAATTGTGATTTTACAGAAGATCTGAGAGATCAGATTAACTTAATTCTGCGAGCTTTGATTTTACAGAAGATCTGAGAGATCAGATTAACTTGATTCTGTGAGCTGTGATTTTACAGAAGATCTGAGAGATCAGATTAACTTGATTCTGTGAGCTGTGATTTTACAGAAGATCTGAGAGATCAGATTAACTTAATTCTGCGAGCTTTGATTTTACAGAAGATCTGAGAGATGAGATTAACTTGATTCTTTGCTGTTTAGTAGTTTATTTTTCTATAAACTCAATTCTCTGGTTCAAGTTTTGGTGGATTATACGGGAATTTCGATGTTGAGAGCCCCGTATATACTGAAACCCCAATTATTCTTATCGATAAAGCTTTACGTCCGTAGTTGTTTTGGCTACCACTGATGAAGAGTTCGTAGAACGAATCAACACGATACGTGCCTGGATATTCTAACTGAATATTTCACTGTTTGTGCTGATGTAAGATTTAAACGAATGAAAACAAGACGTACTTGAATAATTGAAAAAAAATCAAATAATTGTTTATTTTTAGCTCGATGATTAAGGCTTAATATTTGAAAAGATGTTTGAAAATACTTCTGTGCCGGCAGAGTGTTAATACTTGAAACATTATATCCGCATGATTATGAGTTATTGCGACAATCAGCTTTAGCGCAGTCGCAGTATGTTTGCGTCATAGATTGTTGAAACAAATCTATTATGTAAAACAAGAGTATTACATTTAAGCACCTATTTAGGATGTTCAAACAACCGTTTTTGTGTTTCATAGTTAACAAACACGTAAGTAAACATAACATATATAACTGTGAACTGATTCCAAACATCTCACTCCTTTGAATCAGACAAGCAACAACAAAAAAAAGGGGGGGGGGTTACTCGGAATAAGAAGACTTCATCTTAAACCTCCAATGAAATAAAAGTTTTACGGATTGTTGCTGAGGCAATATTATTGATCAATGCTGACGTAGACTCGCATCCCTATCGATCTGTCTCCGCATCCAGAAGATGTTACGTCATGCCTTTCGACTAGTGCAAGGAGAAAGAGCCTCAGCTTCAGGAGACGAAAATTACACTAAAAGCTGTAACTTAACAGAAATTCAGGTTGAGTCGGTTCCATATTTTTTAAATAGATTCTTTTTTCTATAAACTGAATTTTGATTAAGGTTTTAGTGGATAGTGAGACCGTTCTGATGTTCACAGCGATACTGAAAGGTCAATGACACTGGAGAACCTTGTCTATATGGAAACCCCTGTTATTTCTGTTGGTAAGTTTCACGGCCGTAGTACTCGTAGAATACCATATTTATGATAGCAGTAACTACAGGCTTCACTGATGGGTAAATATAATACACGTTATGTTATCTTGCTAGCGTATATGATGAGTAGAATTAAATAGACGGATAAAAAATATCTTCAAAATTCCAGATCTGGATTTGTTTGTTTGTTGGAAAGCACAAATTTATACAATGGACTATTAGTGCTCTGGCCACCGCGGGTATCTAAACCCAATTTTAGCGTTATAAGCTCACTGAC